CCCACGATTTTCCCCAGCTCGAGAATCTCACTTAGATAATGTCATCTTTGTACACTTCCATCAACGAGTGAAGCTTTCCAATTCTGTTCAGTTCCTGTGTTCATGTTAACCACTTCGCACTGGGGCGCAGAAGATACGAGACATAACTTTATGTTTCTGTCGGACGGGTACCTGCTTGGCTTCATCCTCCTCAGTCTTCGACAACTTCCAAGGATACCCGACAATGCAAAACCTGATCACGTCCAATTTTCGACGCCCTACCTTTCAGTCGGCGGCGCTACCGAACAGGTATCATCCTGGGACCGAAGACCGTTGAAGCTACCACAGTACTGTGTATATGCAATCCTTCCTCTTCCGAGACGACAACAGACGCTCGGAGTTCCCGGTGGTCTACCGATGCATTTTCTGTTGCTCATCAAGGTATCTCGAGCCCTGTCCTTCGACAAGGCCTAACGACGTGTTCGGGCCGAGTAAGCCATTCTTTGATCCGGCCATTTCATCATCGACCAGCCATGAATCCTACCATGGAGTGACATGGGCTGAAGACTTGGATGGGACCCTGATGGCATCGTGGATTTACAGCAGAGCCTCACCGCCCTCACACGTGGAAGTGGTTTCAGATATTGAAACCCTAAACGGTCCGTTGGGTGGAGATCTCGGTGCAACCTCACCATGCATTGATCCTCCAAAGAGGGAAATCTTCTGGAAGCCGAACCCCTGCTGTCTTGGGGAACACAAGTCGAACAACCCCAGCATTTGTGATCTCCGTCTTGCTCCACCTCCACGGAAAATCACGAGTTCATCCATGCCCAGTCGTTTCATCTTTCCGACCCAATCGGCTCTAATCTCAACGCGCGGATCCTCGATTCTCATCATCTCTCGTCGCTAACATCGGCCTCTTTCGGTTTGCAGTCTCTTCTTTTGCTCAGTTCTCTCTCGAGGTGTCTGCCGAATAAGCCGAGTCATCGCGTGAGAGATCGTCCTGATGTTCGTCTCAAAATTTTACGTGAAGGGTACTCGACATGAGACTGCGGCGCCGATATTCCGCCGGCTGTCCGGTCCGTCTCGAATGAACCTCGGACCAGCGCGTGTCAAGTTGACATCAGGGCGTAAACGAGATTTGCGGACCCGGGGGAAGCTACGCGCCTCCCTGCCTTTCACATGCTGTGGTCAATCTGGCTTCTTCGCTGCAGTTGCCCTGATGGATCTCTTCACCGGACAAGCGAGAAGCCGTTGACCATCTGCCCCCCTGAGCATCTACCCGTCGTCTGCCTGCCGCTCCCGCCTGGCTGCAGAAGGCTGATTGGCTGGGAATATATGGGAAGAGCCTAGTTCGACGCACCGTTGAGACGGTCAACGGTCATCTCACTGCGAGAATATGGTCCCCAGAGGCGAGGATCGGCTGCAAAATACGATCTATCACGCAAGACATACTCTGAGAACGGTGATCAGCCATCACCAGTGAGAGTCGTGTAACAACCCCAAGAAGATCGAGTCAGAGGCCACTATAGGACCGGGGAACGAGCAAACATTCCACACGTTACCTTGCCATGTCTGGGTAACGCGTCCTCGAGCCTGACACGGCTATTCTTCCGGCCCCCTGCTTTGGCCAACTTATCTTGGGTGCAGATTATCCTCCTCCGATGTTCTTTCCTACGCACAGAACCTCCGATATTATGCCTGCTGTACCTCGTTACAGCCCTGGCATGGTTTCCGCACTTGTCCCGTCTGACCCTGTCTACAAGATCTTCTTGCTACCCCTACTCACTCCCGAGAGCACATTATGTCATGGCGCAAAAGCTGGCCTTTCGAGAACCCCGGGCCATGTTGTACTTATATGAGAGAGCCACTTCTCTGACTCCACCGCTTCCCGGGCTCACTGTTTGCAAGTTCCGTGAGCTCTGTCTGCCTTGCGTGCGTTCCATCCTGGGAAGATCACTCTATAAGGATACATGCCTCGCAAACTTTTCGTTCTCTTTCTCCCTTGTCCTTGCTATCTGAAGCAAACGTTGAATCTCAAACATGTTCTATTCCGAGTCATCTTCGTTCTTCTCTCCTGCTGGAATCCTCGGACCCTCCCAACATCTTCTTCTTGGTCTCAATAGACGCTGAGCTGCCGGTGACCATGATGATCATACGGAACGAATAAATCTGCTCGTTACTCGACTTATCTTGGCTTTAAATTGCCACCACATCAAGTCAGTGAGCACGCGAGCACTGCTAGCGCCCCTGTTGCGACCATGAGCTCCTCTTCGGGCTCATCGTCGCGCAAGTCGCGCATATCGGCGAGCGTGTCCAACGTCATGTACACGAATGCCGTGTACTTCCCCAACTACAGGGTGTACAGAGGCGACACTCCAGGACAGCTCAACTACGGCTGCATAAACCACGTCTACTACGCATTCGCTTCCGTCTCTCCGGATGGCGGTGTGCTTGTAAGTCACCGTTACCTCCTCAAAAATGGACAAATGTCAGGCTGATGCAGAATTCGGCAGCTTAGCGACACATGTGCCGATATTCAAGCGGAGTGCGACGGCGTCAACGGCGCAATAGGCTCCCTGATGCACCTCAAGGACCGACACCCTCACCTCCGGGTCGTCTTGTCCATTGGGGGGGCGGGCTCTCCTGAGATATTCCCCATCGTGGCGTCAGACCCCATGCTTCGGGATAGCTTTGCTCGATCGGCCCTGGGCCTGATCGAAGCTTCGGGTCTGGACGGAATAGACAGTACGTTTACCTCCTGAATATCAGCTGCGCTGGGGAATGTGTTACTTGTTTGTGACTCGCTTGACCGGTGTGTGCTGACCAAATCGCCTCGGTCAGTTGTATGGGAATACCCCTGCGACGAACAACAAGGCGCCGACTTCCTCGAGCTACTGGCAGCAACCCGCGCATACCTGCCAGAAGACCAGTACCTCCTAACAGCAGCCCTACCGGCGAACCAAATGGTGTTGCAATACATCGACCTCGGACAAGCAGCTCTCTACCTGGACTTCATCAACCTGACAGCCTACGACTTCTTCGGCTCCTGGACACCAAGAACGGGACACCACGCGCAACTGTACGCCATGAACAAGGACGAGACGTCGGCATCGACGGGCGTGGGACATCTCATGAAGGCCGGGGTGCCGGGCAAGAAGATCCTGCTGGGCATACCGCTTTTCGGCAGGAGCTTCCTCCACGCCGCGGGCGCGGGGCAGAAGTACAAAGGCGTCGGCGGCGAGGACGGCTCGTTCGAGTACAAGGACCTGCCGCGGAAGCACACGAAGGAGCAGATCGACAAGCGCGCCGTGGCGGCGCAGTGCGTTGGCGGGGACGGCGGGTTTGTGACGTACGATAACCCGGATACGGTCAAGATGAAGGCGGCGTTTTGCAAGCAGAAGGGTCTTGGGGTGAGTTTCTCTACCTAGCTTGTGTGTCCGAGAGGGAGGCCAGCCTTCAATGGTGAAGGGAGGGAGGCGGGGATGGATACAAGAAGCACGAGTGTGCGGTCACTGGCTGTTTGCTGCCCAGCCGCCCGCAGCACCACTTCCTGCCTCTCAACCTCTGCTGTCACAAGCACTATTTGCCTCTCTCGTTTCCCGCCTGAGATATCGAAACTAACAACTGCCTTCAGGGGCTCTTCTACTGGTGTGCACCCGCCGATTCGAAAGACAGCAAACGCAGCCTCATCGCATCCGGGTTCCGAGCTTTGCATAGCTCGTGACTTGGTCTTACTACCTGGACCGGACAACAAAGTCCCGGCAACATCAATATCTCCTTTTTTCATTCATCTACTCACGGCGGGTTCTCTGATATAATTATCACTTGGTGTTCTGCAGCTTAAACGGCTTGGGGCTTCGGGTCACTCCACGCTTGGCTTGGGCACTCTCACAGGACAGTGGCGGCGAAAACCAATACAGAAAAACCGGATGATACAGAGGAGGCATCGTGTCGTACATGCTGCATTTTCTTTTGACCTCGCTTAAGGCCGTGGTCGGAAAACTGGATGATGAAAAAGATAGGAGGATGGGTCGGCGGAATGCTTGGTGTTTATTTTGCGAGTTTGCGCCGGCGTGCGGCCGGTTGGTCTGCGAGGGGGGTTGTAAGCTCATGCAGGTTTCCGAGCTGGGCCTGATTTGTATTCTGGGATTTGTTTCACCCACTTCGCGGACGACCAGACGGGAGACGGACAGGAAGGGACATTCAAAGAACAGACACAAACTACACGGTTCAGACTCGTTTGGGCACATAGGACGGATTCATACGGAGAACGGCTCAGGCGACCTTATCTCGATGTCACAGACGGGGCTCTCCAGATTCAATCACTGTGACCAAGCAGGGAAATGTGCGAGGTTGTCCACGCTTCTCCTATAGAATTAAAGATTGGAGACGTCGGATTTCTCTTACGGCTACCTCTCGCACCTGGCAAAGGATACCTGCGGCAGGCAAATCTTCTCAGGACAAGACCAAAGGCCGCTTCTCATTATGACCAAGACACGTCAGCAATTGAGTGGAACGCCGAATCGGGACCTGGAACTTACACCCAATGAATCATTCGCGAATCGTCACCAGCGTCCCTGGCCTCTCGAGACCTCTTGCGGCTGTCTTCATGTCTTCAAGCGACATCCCGCCGTGCATGGTCTTCGAACGACTTACTAACCGCGGTTCTCCCATAGTGGAACAGGCGCCATATAGTTGGGCCCTGGATGTCGTCGTTGAAAGACGATCTACGACGATCAGTGGTGTGAGTGCCTCTAACAGCATCCTGGGCTAGCCGTTGGGCGATGCGGCGCAACAAAGCCACGACCAAAGTGTGCGATACGATATTGTCCCTGCATGCTTATGAAGATACAGCCTCAATCGCTCGAAACGAGCATCGCGTCCAGAGAAACGATCAACAGAATGTAGACTGACATAACTCCGAAAAGCAGTGGTCAAAGTATCGGGGCATTGGTCGAGTTCGGCCTGACTCAGGTTTGATGAGTCCGCTTAGCGCTAAAATTTATCCGTACTCAAAAGCAGATATGGCCGAGTGGTCTAAGGCGGTGGTCTTAAGTTCATCAAACTTCTTCACCATTATCGAAAGATGCGTGGGTTCGAACCCCACTGTCTGCAAATACGTCACTTTTGCTTCCCTTCATCCTTTCCTTATGATAAAACATAATCCTGAGACTCGTTCTTTTTGCCTGCGGATTGCTGACAGTCGAGGCCGACAGTGGCACACTCTTCTTTCTGCGACGTGCTTGCGTGCGGGTGCCGCTGCTAAATCTCCCATGTAACCACAATCAATAAAGTATATTGCAGTTCGTCCGGATCGCAGCTCCGAAATGGGTACGTACCGTTAGAACGTCAATCTGGAGCCGATTTGTTCGATATTGCATCGGAAGAAGGCGAGCCTGGTTTGATGGACAGTCTGATATTGTGGCTGGCGGGTTGGATTGAATATTCTGCCGATGGCTGGAATGACATGTGAAACTGTTCACCGAGCTTCACCGTGACCTGAACCCTGCTGGCTTCGGTGTGCAACTCACCGACCGCTGGTAAGCTCCGTGTCCCTTACCGTAACCCCCGGACTTTGATGTTACAAGCTTCCAAACGCTCCATCGACGCAGTATTAACTGCAAAAGCACAACCATGAATATAACACAGCCAGAGACTCAATCTCTGGACTCCAGTAAGTCCGGTCCTATCCATCCACAGTCCCATTTTGTCTGTCCAAAGTCGCCCTCTCTCAACGCCCGCTAACTAATTCACCTCCAGTCAACTACGACCCCATCGACAACCTCAACGCCCTCTTCTCCCACCCCTCGAATGTAGCCTCCATCTCCCGCGTCTCCGCGACCCTCACCCGCGAGAAGAATGCCCTCACATCCTCCATCAGCGCCCTCGAGGCCGCCCAAGCCTACTCGGGCCCCGACTCCTCCCTCGAGCGCATGCAGTCCGCCCAAGCCGAGCTAGCGACCCTCTTCCGGCGCATCGAGTCCGTCCGCGGCCGCGCCCTCCAGACGGAGCGCGACATCACCACCATGACGGCCGACATCAAGCGGCTCGACGGCACGAAGCGCAACCTCACACTGTCCATGACGGCGCTCAAGCGCCTGCAGATGCTCACCACGGCGTACGACCAGCTGCGCGGCCTCGCGCGCGCGAGGCAGTACCGCGAGTGCGCGGGCCTGCTGCAGGCCGTGCTGCAGCTGATGAGGCACTTCAACAGCTACCGGAGCATCGAGCAGATCGCCGTGCTGAGTCGGAACGTCAGCGAGCTGCAGCGGGAGCTGCTGGAGCAGGTGTGCGAGGACTTCGAGATTGCGTTCGCGAAGGGGGAGGTTGGGGCGAGGAAGAATACGCTTGTGGAGGCGTGTCTGGTTATGGATGCGCTAGGGGATACGGCGAGGAGTAGGCTGGTGATGTGGTATGTCAATACCATGTTGAGGGAGTACAGGCAGGTCTTCCGCGGGAACGACGAGGCGGGGAGTCTGGATAATATTGGGAGGAGGTATAGCTGGTTCCGGAGGACGTTGAAGACGCATGAGGATGAGCATGGGGGGATATTCCCGCCGCATTGGAGGGTGAACGAGGTGCTTGCCGGTGCGTTCTGTGATGGGACGAGAGATGACTTCAAGGGCATACTGGAGAGGAGTATGAGGAGGACGGACGGGGGCAAGATCGACGTCAATCTGCTGCTGAGTTGTCTCCAAGAGACGATGGACTTCGAGCAGAGCCTGGAGAGGCGGTTTGCGAGCGACCCGAGGCGGAGCATCGACACGCTTAGCTCGGCAGATGAGCGCACGCAAAGCTTTAATGGCTCGATATCGGTCGCGTTTGAACCGTATCTGAGTCTCTGGGTCGAGAGCCAGGACAAGGCGCTCGCGGGCATGATCCCGAGGTACAAGACGCAGCCACTGATACCTGAAGACGAGGAGTTCTCGCCGCAGGCGGTGATCCCTTCAGCCATTGAGCTGTTCCACTTCTACAAGCTCACCCTGTCGCAGTGCGCGAAGCTGTCGACTGGGGAGAGGTTGCTAGATCTGGCAAAGATACTCGCCAAGTACCTAGACGAGTACGCGCAGCAGGTGCTGCTCACCTTCCTGCAGAAGGGTGCCCAGCAGGGGCCATCCGTGGAGGACATCATCCTCGTGCTCAACACGGCCGACTTTTGGCACACCAACACGAACCAGCTCGAGGAGAACATCAAGAAGCGCATCGACCCGGAGATGGCATCCAAGGTCGACCTCTCACCGCAGTCGGACACCTTCATGGGCGTTGCGAGCGCAGCCGTGCTGGCCATGGTGCACAAGGTTGAGCAGGCGTGCGATGGCGCGTGGCGCGAGATGAGGAACACCAACTGGAGCAAGATGGAGAGCGTCAGCGACCAGAGCTCGTACGTGAGCGAGCTGATCCGGAATGTCAACGCCAAAGCGGAGGAGATCCTGCCGCTGGTGGTCAAGGCACAGTATGCCCGGGCGTTCTGCGACAACGTGGTGGAACACATGGCGAGCGCGTACATACACAATATCGTGCAGTGCCGGCCCGTGTCTGAAGTCGGCGCAGAACAGGTATGTCTCCAATCACCGTATCGCTTTAGGATGAAGGTGTGCTAACATCCATCCACAGATGCTCCTCGACAAATACGTCCTAACAAAAGCCTTCGAAACCCTCCTCTCCCACCACAAGGACTCGCGCTCCTCCACCTCGTCAACGACCTACACCCCGCCCGCCAGCTTCGTCAAGCGCGTGAACCACTCCATGACGCGCATCGACCCACTCCTCAAGACGCTCCAGGTCCGTCCCTCGCCGCCCGAGGGACTCGTGCAGGCCTACCTCATCCACATAGGCGACCGGTCCGAGGCCAACTTCCGCAAGATCCTCGAGCTCAAGGGCGTCGTGCGCAAGCAGGACCAGGCGCACCTCGTCGAGCTGTTCACCATCCACCGCGACTCGGCGCCGGCCGGGGGCAAGCCGCTCGTGCAGAACTCGCCTTTGCTCACTCCGTTGCAGCTCAATAGCGCGCCCGGGACGACGGTGGGCGGCGGCGTCGGTCTGATAGCGAGCAATGCCGTGCTGCCCGGCATGCCGGCGAAGTTCGACCCTGCCAGTCTGGGGGAGAAGTTGCTCAGTGCTGCGCGCGACGGGGTGGAGAGGATGGGACCCTCGGCTGCCGCTGCTGCTGGATCGGCGGGAGGCGGTGGTACGCAGGAGGCGCCGGCTACTAGTATCAATGAGAATCTGAAGAATATCGGCAAGTTCTTCAGGAGAGATATTGGGGGGATTGGTGGGCTGGGGGCGAGGTTTGGGAAGAGGGACGTTACGCCTACTGGGAGTCATGATGAGCAGAGGTAATGGCTTGACTCTTGGCTGTTGGGTACGGTATGTAGACATAGAATAGGCAGTGGATTACATGGTGAACATGCCTATCCTCTTCTGTCGTGATGCGGCTCACTGAAAATGCGAGGCGTTTTCCGCGTCTAGACCTTTGTGAACATATTTCTTTCTACGCCAATTTCTTTCCTAGAACCACTTTGTAACTACGTACTGTACGTTTCATTGACTGACTCAGCCATCTCATCCTCATCATATGGCGTAAATGTTTGGTAGACAGATATGTATGTAGTGGTGAGAACATCAACAGATGTAGCGGACCACATCCTAACCAATCATGTGCCACCGAACTCGGGATGTCTCCAATCAACGACAACCTCTCATTCCAATCTTCAACCTCATCCATCACAACACCAACGACTGCTGAAGTATAAGTTGCAATCAGCTGGGGATGTTAGAGCATGTAATGCAATTTTGAGATGTTACTAGACCGGTGAGCGCAAAGCTCGAGAGGCAAAATGATCCAAGGCATCTTCTATGCACGGTTCTTCCCCACCGAAGGTGAACCACACCCATGAGTCTCATGCATCTACACACCATTGAGCCGTCTTCTAACAAAGTATCCAGGAACCAAGATATACGCCCAAAGCCCACCGGGCTGCATAGTCCCGGTACCGGGGGTAAACAAGCCGCCGCTCTTCGACTTCACCATCCTGCAGGAGTACATCATCCCCAAGAAGGCCTTCTACAACCGCTACATCACCGCGACCGACCCGGACGGGAAGTACGTGGTGCTCGGCTTCCCGGTCTCCATCACCGGCAAGTACGCGCGCAATGAGTTTATCTTCAACTTTGGTCTCGTCGTCGAGGCCGACGTCGACCAGATCCCCTACGAGCCCGTCGTGCGCCGCTTGGCCGTGACCTTCGCCGAGATGGAGAAGCAGAACAACTACCTGAGCCAGGACGTGCGGGACTCGGAGTACCCGGACCGCCGGCCTATCGAGTCGCTGCTGGAGATTGTGAAGGAGGACCTGAATAACTATGGGGAGTGCATGATTCCCGTTGGTACGTTTGTTACACCTCCCTCCCCGCTCCTTGCTTGGTTATGTTGTTGACGCTGTGTAGATGAGGCCAATACCATCAACATGAAGCTCTTCCCCCACCACCCAACACCGCCAGACGTACAAGGCTGGCACGTTCCGGTCGCAAAGATGAAGTTCGGCGACATCGTCGACCCGACCTGGGACCTAACCCTCCAGCGGGTCATCCAGCACATCGACGGCGTCAACGACGTGCGCCGCATCGCCTTCGCGGCCGACGTCTCCCTGGACCTAGCCCGTCTCGCACTGCGGCACCTCCTATACTACGACACCATCCTCCTCCTCGACATCTTCTTCTTCGGCTCGTGCTACGCTCCGCGACCGGGCGTGCACGACTTCGTGGCCAACGTCGGCGGCATCGTGGACGAGTGCGCGAACTACGTCTGCATAGGGCCCGGCGCGGCTGCTGGGGGCAACGCAGTAACCGCCTCCGCGGCAAACGCGACGGCGTCGCAGCAGCAGCAGCAGCAGCACAGGGTGTCGAACTACCAGCTCATCAAGCTCATGACGACCTTCTGCGTCGGCAAGACGGTGATGGAGTGGCTCAAGGGCCACATGGACGCCGGGTTCGAGGTGCTGCGGTACATCGACGTGCGACGGCTGGTGCAGTTCGGCGTCATCAAGGGGTGCCTGTACCGCGTGCACAAGCACGTCGTGTCGAAGCAGTACCTCGCCGCCCTGGCGTCGGGACAGGCG